AAAAAACAAAACTTTTGTTCCAAAAACCAGTGAGGTGTTGTATAAAGCTATGTGTATGCTAAATATACACACTTTGTTGCCAAAATCACCTACAATGGACAAGTAAAAATGGTTGTAAAAATGCATAGTCGTGGAGATGAAAAATTCGATGCACATGTGCATCTTTTTTTACATTCTTTGCAGGTTGTACCCACAGAAGAAAAAGGGAGAGAGAATGTTGGAATCATTCTTCAGCCACCATACAAAATGATGTAGATGACGTGAGCACATCAAGTGGTGCATGACAATCCTCTACAGCTCTATGATGAACGACTGAGATGGATTGGAATTCAAAATGGAAGACCTAGATTTCATGCAATTTGCATTGCACTTCCAATGGTTGAAAATATTAGGAAAAAAAAAACCTTAAAATGTTTAAAATATATTATAATTTTCTACATATATATCGTTATGTTAGTTTGTAAGTAAAATCACGTGTTCTCCAAATTAAATTTTTTTTAAGTCCATTTGTTTGGAAAAATAAAATAAACCAAATACACACAAAATTAATTTTAAAAAGTTAAAACATAAAAAAAAAAAAAATTTATCACAAACAAATCGAATGTACATCTTCGGATTTATATCTTTCCCCATTAATTGGAGCAAAAAATTCATTACCCCCTTTGGAAGTGTAAATGGAATATAAAAGTGACTTTACACTCCCAAAAATACACCACCCATTGATGATGCTCTAACTTAAGTAAATTGCGTTTGCAGATGGAACGAGGGAGAGAGAGTATATATGCTATAGAAGAAGACACAGTTATAGATTTGTAAGTGTTTAAACTAAAAGGAAAAAAAGAGGGCGAATAAACTAGCCACTCCACTTTTTGGTCCAATCCAATGAAACTAAACTACGTATTTCTTGGTTACAAAGAAACTAGGTCTTTCGAATAACAACACTTCAACTAAGCAGTCACTTCGATTACGTACTGATGAATGACCTAGTGACACATCTTCTCAGCCTCGGGTGTCCTTGACATATTGGATTGGATGCCCAGCTGGAGGATTTGATTGTGGGATGTGGAGGTTATCTTATGACGAAAAGGGTTTAATGATGGATACATTTACTTGTCGATAATTAGAGCATTAGGTGCAATCAATTTTCCAGGAAAAAAATAGGAGTTAAGAGGCTTTACACGTAGGCGTAACCGTATATTTTTTTATATAAGCGATATTTGGAGTGGTAGATTCAAACATAGGAGTTCAAATGAAAGATAGATGCTCTTAATTATTTGAGTTACAAGTTTATTCACCATGTAACCATAAGTGTTTGTTGATGATTTAGTATGCATCATACACGTAATGTTTTTGGTACATGAGTTATGTAGTTTCAATGTGTGAATCAATGCTCCAGTAAGCACCTTATCTTGAATTTCATGACACCCTGTAAAAAGAACATTCAAGCAACAATTTAGATAATGGAAACTTGACACAAAAATTGGTTAGGGTTTTGGAGTTTGAAATTCCCAGGCTATTATTATAAAGCACACGAAAAACGAAATCAAAAGATATTATAGCTGAGGACGAGAGTCTAATCTCGTCATGTGTATGAGTAAGATACACTTACCACTAGAGCTACAAGTTCTCACATTTCGTATATCCTTAATTGAAAAAATTGAAACACATTTTTTTCTAAGCACCAATAAGATTATTTTATTATATTCTATAGAAGTACATGTTAAATGGGTAGCTCTCATTCTGCTGTCCTTGTTCATGTTTCCTCTTGGACAATCCTTGACAACGTCTTGGGAATCTCTTACACATGAAGTCGGCAATGTTATGGCAAAACATGCACCAACATTCCAACAAATTAAAGGGCATTATGGGCATGACAATTGGTCGTTACATAACTTCCCCCATTAGCCTCACGTCCTTCTATGTGAAGCCTTATATATACAAACCTCAGTTTCAATTAGCTTCTCAACCATTTTCTCAAATACACATCGTAGCCTCTTCTCTTAAGCACCAGAGATCACAGCATATCCTTGTAGCTAGATCGATGGTAATTTCAGAGCAGTTTATTTCAGTTCAAGTTCCTCAAAAAAACTTAACAAATTCATGGGATTATCTTATTTTTCAATTAACATAAATTCTTCTGTACTCTGCAGGATAAACTTGAGCTTGTTGAAGGGAAGGTGGATTGGAAGGGAAGGTCGGCTGTGAAATATAAACATGGAGGAATGAGAACTGCTGTGCTCATACTAGGTACTCTTTTAGCACACACACATCATGATCACCTTTATACTGGTTTACTAGTTAATTTACCATTTTGGGTTCCGTATATACATGTTGCAGCAACATTTGGTTTTGAGAACATGGCAACTTTTGCCCTGGCTGTGAACTTGGTTACATACTTCAATGGGGTCATGCACTTTGAACTAGCAGATGCAGCTAACCAGCTTACCAACTACATGGGAACTGGTTATATTCTCTCCATTATCGTGGCCATCCTTGCAGACACCTTCTTTGGCAGATTCAAAACTCTTCTCACTTCCGGATGCTTCGAGTTTGTGGTATGTCAAATTAGTCCTCATCACAAATTGAATTGGGTTTTGTAACTGGATGGTGTTTGATGGATATAATGAATGTTGCAAAATTTTCTTTCAGGGACTAGCATTACTAACTGTGCAAGCTCACTACCCCAAACTGAGGCCACCACTCTGTAATGTGTTTGATCCAACTGCTATGTGTGAGAAAGTTGGTGGTGGAAATGCTGCACTGCTTTTTATTGCTCTCTACATCTTGGCTGCCGGGGCTGCTGGGATCAAGGCCACATTGCCATCACATGGTGCTGATCAGTTTGATGAAAAAGACCCAAGAGAGGCAAGGCAGATGTCCAGTTTCTTCAACTTGCTGTTGCTGGCAGTGTGCTTGGGTGGTGCAGTCAGTTTGACACTAATTGTGTGGATCCAAGATAATAGAGGATGGGATTGGGGCTTCGGGTTCTCCACAATTGCCATGTTCTTGGGTGTGGTCATCTTTTTCGCAGGATTGCCTTTGTACCGGATACAACCTATCAAAGGAACTAGTGCCATAGTTGAAATTATACAGGTTTGTTTCCTTTTTAACCCTGTAAAATTTAGTTCCAAGACTTAGGTAATTAACAAAGAGTAAGTAATCTAGTCATGCCTTTCCATGGATAAATTTTTTGGTGGAGGAGGACATATACGCTCTTTTCTCACAATCATCCATTCACTTGAACGGCACGTACGATGTGTTGATGTGAAAAAGAGGATGTATATGACTGTCTCACCCTAAAGTTTTTGCTTTCAATGGACTAAAAAAGAAAAGATCCCTCTTTGGAGGTTAAGGAAAGATATGGTTTTTTATAAGTTAATCCAAATTAATATCATAGAATAGATTGACTAAGTCATTAAGATGTAGTGTATGTTTTGTTTTCTTTTGGTGCTTAGATATAGGGAATCTAAGAAGGAGACGGCTCAAGGAAGATCCTTAAATGGATACTTCCAAATATACACTGTTCCTTCAGATCAACTCGTTAACTAGTTGACGTCTTGCTCATGTCCTTTCAGGTGTATGTTGCAGCCATCCGTAACAGAAACCTTAGCCTTCCTGAGGACCCTGCAGATTTGTATGAGATTAACAAAGACAAGGAAGCTGCTCTTGAAGAAGAATTTCTACCTCACAGATCCATTTTCAGGTACCTTATCATTTTTTTACCAAAACACATGACCTTCTACATTCGAAGAGTGGCAAAATTAAGCATGTCATATTTCCGGCATGTTATGTTATCAAAATGCGAATCAAATGCGCACATTCAAATATTATCTTGATTCATAATCTCACAACATAATATATCAAATTGAATTTCTGTTCAGATTTTTGGACAAAGCAGCCATCCAACCATCAACAACAGGGCAAGTTGATGAACAGCAGCCTCCAAACCCATGGAAGCTCTGCAGAGTGACCCAAGTGGAAAATGCAAAAATCATACTAGGCATGGTCCCTATATTCGGCTGCACAATTATAATGACCCTTTGCCTGGCTCAGCTCCAAACCTTCTCAATCCAACAGGGCCTCACCATGGACACAAGCATCACCAAATCCTTCAAAATCCCACCGGCCTCACTCTCCATCATCCCAGTTCTGTTCCTGATCATAATAATCCCTGTCTACGATCGCATCTTTGTGCCGATAGCAAGCAAAATTACTGGCATACCCTCCGGCATAACCCACCTGCAGCGCGTAGGGGTAGGGCTAATCCTGTCCTGTGTCTCCATGGCTGTGGCTGGCATCATGGAAGTGAAGAGAAAAGATGTGGCAAGAGACCACAACATGCTGCTGGCAAGGCCAGTGCTTCAGCCACTGCCCATCAGCACATTCTGGCTCTCTTTCCAGTACTTCATATTTGGAATTGCAGACTTGTTCACTTATGTGGGGCTTCTTGAGTTTTTCTACTCAGAGGCGCCTATGGGCTTGAAATCTATCTCAACTTGCTTTCTGTGGAGCTCCATGGCACTTGGGTATTTTTTCAGCACCATATTGGTGAAGATTGTGAATGGTGCAACAAAGGATGTGACAAGAAGTGGAGGTTGGTTGGCTGGGAACAACATCAACTTGAACCACTTGAATCTTTTCTATTGGTTGCTTTCTTTCATGAGCTTGATCAACTTCATTGTCTATGTGTTTGTTGCTAAGAGGTACAAGTACAGGCCTGGGAGCCCCATCCTGCTCTCAAAACAGAACAAGAAAATTGAGGAATGACTTCTCATCCTCATCACCAGGATCCAAGAAGAAATACTAAATGTATGTTGTTAATTTAATGTAATAATGTCATGTGTGAAAAGTTGGATAGTTTCAATATGATGATTTAGCCCTAGCACGTTTGCTTTCCTTTCCAGCTACTACTTGTTGTGTTCATCCTCAATGAAAATCATGATGAGTTTCCATTATTCCCACATTTTCCAACTTAATTTGATTGCCTTAATTTAATTTTCATTGTTATAAGAGGTTTCAAAATACAAAGTGAAAAACAAGAACCAAACGAACTGGACAGATGTCACTGTAGCCACTTTACAAGTTCAACTCAACCTCAAATCATCTACATTTGGCAACCTCAACTCACAACCCTCAGCCACCTCACACCTCCCCCATGCAACATGCATGTCCACGTGGAAGCCTCACAACACACCACGTATTCCCATTCCTTTATCAATTCTCTCTCCTTGGAATCCTTCTGATCACATATGTGAAAGTATTTACAACCAGAGAGTCTACACTTGCACTGATCATAGTCACAGAGAAAGAGAGATAGTACGAACGACGTCGTTTGAGATGGCTTCAAGTGACAAGACACCGACTCCGAACCCGGCCTTCCAGGGCGACCATCCGACGCCGCCGGGAAAGCCGATGACGATGGGGCAACACGTGTTGGACAAAGGAGCGGAGATGATGCAGTCCCTGAAGCCGGTGAACCAGATGAGCCAGCACGTGTGCACCTTCGCCCTCTACAGCCACGACATGACACGTCAGATCGAGACCCACCACTACGTCACCCGCCTCAACCAGGACTTCCTCCAGTGCGCCGTCTACGACTCCGACGACTCCCACGCCCGACTCATCGGTAAAGATATAAAAGCTACACTGAAACGACGTTGTTTCGGAAAGGCTTAATTAACTTCCAAGTTGTGGTATTTTTGCAGGTGTGGAGTATGTGGTGTCTGATAGGATATTTGAGACTCTGCCTCCGGATGAGCAAAAGCTGTGGCATTCCCATGCTTATGAGATCAAAGCAGGCCTCTGGGTCAACCCTCGGATCCCCGATATAATTGGCCAGCCTGAGCTCAATAATTTGACCAAAACTTATGGCAAATTCTGGTGCACATGGCAGGTTGATCGAGGTAAATAAAATAGAAGCGGAAAAAAGAGCCTCTTGCACGCAGCGCTTAATTAGTAATTAATTAAACAAAATTTGGTAGATATGTGTGTGTGTGTGTGTGTGTGTGTGTGTTTTTTAAACATAAATTAAATTAATTGCTTTGATTTATTATTAGGTGATCGGCTTCCACTGGGGGCGCCGGCGCTGATGATGTCGCCCCAAGCGGTGAACTTGGGGATGGTGAAGCCGGAGCTGGTGCAGAAGAGGGATGACAAGTACAACATATCAACGGATGCTTTGAGGGTGTCGAGGGTGGAGATAGCCGAGCCGGAGTGGAGTAATCCGCAGGCGGATTACTGGAAGCAGCATGGCAAGGGTTTCGTCGTTGACGTCAAGCATTTGAGCAAGATTAGGAACATTAATTACTTTGTGGATATCCAAGCACCTATTTTGAGCAAGATTAGGAACATCTATTTTGTCATTTATTATCGAAGTGAATTGACTGCTTCTTTCACTTCAGTTTGATAAATGCTTCAAGAAAAAAAGCTACGCTTCTGCCCAGACGCTTGTCTTTGGACTTCAGTGTGGTGTGCTTATATATATTACCTCTATCTCTTCCTCTCTCTCAATTCCTGTTTATGCTAGCTATAATCAGAAATGGGAGGAAAGAAAAAAAACAAATCAAGCGCCACCACTGCCAATACATCAGAAACCGGAGGAGGAATGCAAACAAAAGCTGATCCTAAAAGCAAATTATCCACCACCACCATTTTAGAAGATGAAGGCTTGTCCGCAGCACTAGTTGTTGAAGCCGAACATGCTGTACCTCTCAATGTTGCTGTGGATGCACCCATTGTGTCATCTTACAACGAAAAATTTCGTCCTCTGCTTGATGCAGTTGACAAGCTCCGTAGCCTCATGGTTATGGAGGAAGGCATTCAGCTCCCCACAATTGTTGTTGTCGGAGACCAGTCATCTGGTAAATCTAGCGTTCTTGAATCCCTTGCTGGAATCAGTCTGCCACGTGAACAAGGCATCTGCACCAGGGTACCCCTCATAATGAGGCTTCAACACCATGCACGTGCAGAACCAGAGCTTTCACTGGAGTACAATGGCAGAGTTAAACAGACTGATGAGCTCAACATTTCAAAAGATATTATCAATGCCACTAATGTCATTGCTGGTGGAGGTAAGGGAATTTCTAAAACCTTATTGACTTTGTTGGTGAAAAAGAATGGTGTGCCTGATTTGACCATGGTTGATCTCCCTGGAATCACTAGGGGTTCCTGTTCATGGCCAGCCTGAGAATATTTATGATCAAATTAAGGATATGATCATGGAGTATATAAAACCTGAACAGAGCATCATTTTAAATGTGTTGTCTGCGACTGTGGATTTTATTACTTGTGAATCGATTAGGATGTCACAGAGTGTGGATAAAACTGGTGAGAGGACTCTGGCTGTGGTTACAATGGTTGATAAAGCACCAGAGGGACTGCTAGAGAAGGTTACAGCTGATGAAGTCAATATTGCTCTTGGTTATGCCTGCGTAAGGAACCGGATTGGAGGTGAGACGTACGAGGAAGCTCTAGCTATTTCTGACCAACTATTTCAAACTCATCCTCTGCTTTCCAGGATTGACAAATCTACAGTTGGAATTCATGTTTTGGCCCAAAAGTTGGTTCAAATTCAAGCCACTAGCATAGCTAGAAATTTGCCGGATATTGTTAAGAAGATTAATGACAAGCTGAGTTCCTGCCTTTCAGAGCTCGACAAAATGCCAAAGAAATTGTCATCTGTTGCTGATGCCATGATAGTTTTCATCAACATCATTGGAGTGTCCAAAGAATCGCTTAGGAAAATTCTTATTAGAGGAGAATTTGACGAGTACCAAAATGAAAAGCACATGCATTGCACGGCTAGGCTTGTAGAAATGCTCAATCAGTATGCTGATGAACTTCATAAGGCCAATGAAAGTGATCCCAAAAGTAACTTCTTAACGGAGGAGATTAAGGTTTTGGAAGAAGCGAAAGGTATTAGTCTTCCCAATTTTCTTCCCCACAATGTCTTTCTTTCTATTTTGCAGGGAAAAGTGAGGGGAATTTCAAGTATACCAATTAGGTTTGTTGAGCAGGTGTGGAGTTATATTGGGGATGTGGTGATTTCTGTGTTAATGCATGACACACAAGGCTATTATCATCTTCATATGGCTACCAGAAGAGCTGGCCATAATCTTATATCCAAGATGAAAGAAAGGTCAATCAACTGGATCTTGGAGATTGTGGACATGGAGAAACATACAGATTACACATGTAATCCTGAATATGTATCTGAATGGAATAGGCTCATGACCAAACAGAATGCATTCATAGATGGAGTCTTGAAGGATGAGCAACGGCCCTCTAAGATGGACATAGAGGGTATTGGGGAGATTGAATTTGAAGGTCTAAGGAAGTACACTCGTGTTGATCTATCTCAAGCTTTTGACTTGAAAATGCGGATGACTGCGTATTGGAAGGTTGTTCTGAGAAGGTTGGTTGATTGCATGGCCTTGCATTTGCAGCTGGCTGTTGCAAACCTTGTGAACAAAGAAATGGAGATGGAGATTGGTTGCGAGTTAATGGGAGCAAATCACGGCGTTGGGATTGAGAGGATGCTGGAGGAAGCTCCATCAGTTGCGGTCAAGCGCGAGAAGCTCAACAAGAGCATCAAAAAGCTCAAGGATTCTAAGGAGGTGGTTGGTAAGATCATGGATACTTATGCTGGTTAACTTGTGGGATAGCTATAATGATCAATGTTCTGTTAATTTCTAGTTATTAGTATGTAGTTAAATGATGGCCACTTTCTAGTTACAGCAGACATTTTGTGAGTCCTGTGTGGATGATCTGTTTCTGCTTAATTAAGGGCACATTTTGTTTAACAATGTACCTGGTTGCTCATCCTGTGTGTAACATATCTGTTTCTACGTAATTAAGATCACGTTTTGCTTATAATCTTGTGGATGCTGATTTTGTTTCTACTCAGTTAAGAACACATTTTGTTTTTAAGTGGCTTCTAACCAGCTAGCATGTTTAATCCATGTAAACGATTTTGTTACCATCTTCATCTAGTTAGCTGTGGGTGGCTAAATCGAGCACCATCAGTGTCAAAGTTCTTGCAGTCTCAAGTAGAAAGACCTCTCTTAAAACAAAAATGTGTGTGTAGCAGAACAGTTTGCCCAAAATATGTGGTCTAGAATATTGTATGTATTAAAAAAAAAAATTCATTGTCCTGAACAACCAAGTAACAACATGAACCAAAAAAAAAAAAAAAAAAAAAAATATTTTTTTTGCAAGATTAATTTGAAGACCAAAGATGGTCAGACAACTGCATAGATTCCTAATAGATAATAGAGATTACTTAATACACAACTTCTCAGCAGATTTCAACAGAGTCCAGAAACATATCCCAACCAGATATCTTCAAAGAACACTACACCTGTCCTACATTATAGTTTTTAGCATGAATGAACTGATTTCTTTGCATGCAATATTGGTTACTGGTTTGTTAACGGCTTTTTGCTATACTGATTGCGTCAATTTCAAGGACATGTCTTTGTTATTGTGATCTTGGCAGAAAAACTTATATGAAAAGGAAATAACACTATTTTGTTATTTTCGGCTAATTATGCTATGCTAAGTAGAAAAATTATCACGCGTAGAAGAGACTGATTGATCAGGAATAGTAAAACAGTGCTATTCTTGTTATACACAAATGTTTCTCGATCTTAGGGGTGTATTTAATTAAGATTTTAATGGATTTTAAATAAGTTTGGAGTGTCATTTAATTGATTTATTTTTCATATCAGTTTTGATGAAATTTGTTAGAATCTTGATCTTGTCATAGAGTTTGATAGATTTTTATAAACTTCTATAAATTTTAAATAATAGTGGGCCATCCTGCTTGATGTTAGTGGTGGTGGTAGAAATGATAGAGGCATTAATGGTGGTAATGATCGTGTCAAGACTCAAAAGTAAATAGGGTTTAAACTGATATGTGTATTCTTCTCTCAAGGAAGGATATATATACTACATACAGAGTTGGTACAAAAAGGAAATATGTACAAAATCTCCTAATTCTACTCAAATGAGATAATTACAATAAAATACAAATTCTTTTCCTAATAGGAAATTTTTTTTATTCCTAATAGGAACATTAACTTTGACTCACGCCAACACTCCCAACAAGTTGGTGCATAGATATCGGTAATGCCCAACTTGTCAAGTGAGTCTTCAAATCGGATTTTTAATGAAATGCCAATCAACTTCTACATGCATAGTTCGATCATGTTGCACCGGATTTTTAGCAATTTCAAATGCAGACTGACTATGAAAGTGGAGCTTTGTAGCAGCCATCCAGTCTAAACCCAATTTCAGCAAGTAACCACATTAACCACAGTATTTCACAAACCCCTTGGACAATCCCTTCATACTCAGACTCTGTAGAGGACTGAGACACAACATTTTTCTTCTTAATTGCTACGCCACGTAACTAGGTTAATGCCAACAAATGTGAAGTAACATGATGTAGAATGTCAATCTGTAATATTCCATGCATAATTTGCGTCAATGTAACCTTCTAGATCCAAGTGGCCATTTTTCTTAAATAATAAACCTCTCCGAGGAGCATACTTTAAGTAACTTAAAATACGCATCACAACAGCCATATGATCCTCACTAGGTGAATGCATAAATTGACTAGCAACGCTTACTGCATAGGCAATATTAGGGCGTGTCAGTGATAAATAGATCAATTTCCCAACCAATCTTTGGTGTCTTTCTTTATTAATTGGGACCTAATCCACATAAATCCCAAGTTTATGATTCTCAACAATAGGTGTATTAGCTGGTTTACAGTCAAGCATTCCAATATCTGCTAGCAGGTCATATTTTCTTTGTGAAAGAAATAAGCTATGTTTAGATCGAGTGACTTCCACTCCTACAAAATATTTCAGCCTACCCAAATTTGTAGACGCTAAATGCTTATGCAGTTCCTCGATTTCTACAGTAACATCACTAGTCACAATCATATCATCAACATAAATAATCAACGAAGTCACCTTATTAGCCCCGTGTTTAATGAATAGAATAGGATCAGTATTGGCCTGTTGGTAACCAAATTTCTTCATAGCTGCAGTAATTCTGCCAAACCATGCCAGAGGAGACTGCTTTAACCCATGCAACGTCTTTTTTAAGTTGCACACGTTCACCGTGTCACCAGTATCGCTATACCCTGATGGAAGACTCATGTACACTTCTTCTTCTAATTCATCATGTAAGAATACAATTTGTTTTTAGATCAAATTGCCTCAGGGTCCAATCTAAGTTTACTGCTAAGGATAGCAAAACTCTGACAGTATTCATCTTAGCCATAGGTGCAAAAGTATCATGATAATACACTTCATATGTCTGAGTGAACCTTTTAACTACTAATCTTGCCTTGTACCTCTTGACAATACCATATGCATTACATTTAACTGTGAACACCCATCTGCATCCTACAGGCTCCCTTTGGTTGATCACCAATGCCCCATGTATTATTTTTCTGTAACGCCTCCATTTCAATATTCATGGTTTCAACCCACTTTGGATCCTTAAATGTCTCATCAATACGAGTTGGAATTTTAATACTATCCATTATGGTAAAAAACTCTTTGCACTTTGGAGATAACCTGTGATCATACACATAATGGGCA